ACACACACACACACACGCCCGGCGTGAGTTTAAGCCACCGGGTCCGGGACTTGAATCACGGTTGACCACATGGGAGTTCAGCGACATAGCCATTACGCCAACTGCTGGTTCCTCTTCTCCCAGATCTTGACCCCAAGTTCCTCCCTGCCCTTCCAGTGCCCTAACATCTTCAAATTGAATTATTTCGTCTGACTTTTCTCACTGTCAGCAATAGGTTCTGAATTATGTGGAATTATATGGCCTGCCATGGCTGGAAAAGGGTTCAATTCTTTTTCTTTTTTTTAAAATTATTTTATTTAACTCTATTTATTTATTTATTCATCTTTTTATTTCAATTTGACCAGAGAGGGACAGAGGTAGAGGAGAGAGAGAGGAAATGAGAAAGCAAGCTGCCAGGTCTGGGACTCGAATCAGCCAGCCATGTGGGACTCTAGTGCCTTTAACCACCACGGCACCTGCCAGCCCCAGGGTTTAATTCTTTAAAATCCACAGTGAAATGTTCTTTTAAATTCACGTTAGAGTGCGCGTGTACGCACACGTGAGAATGAGCGACTAGCGAGATGGAGAGAAGCGCTCGCCACAGGGCCCAGTCGCCCGCTGTCCCCTCCGCCCGGGTCTCTGCCCAGCAGACCTCGGTCACTCTCCCACATGCCCGACGTGCTCTGGGCTGGCCGACCGTGGAGGTGACCGCAGTTGCCGGGTGGGATCCAGCTTTTCTTGAGCAGTGTGTCACCGTGAAGCTGCCCCAAATCAGATCATTTTCTTCTCGACTCAGAACCATCTGGGATATGGGAACCAGCAGTTGGCGTAATGGCTATGTCGCTGGACTCCCACGTAGTCGACCGCGGTTTGCGTCCCCGACCCGGTGGCTTAAACTCACGCCGGGCGCGTGTGCGTGCGATCCCGAGAGGAGAATGGAGGAGAAGGGATTGCGGCGTGACCATCCCCCCTGGGGGGTGATTTCTCACTTTCTGTCTCTATGTCTCTCTCTGTCTGTTTGGCGAG